ATGCAAAAGAATTTAAATGGCTTTGATTTTATTCCTGTTTGAAAAGGAAAATCAGAAAAAAAGAAAAGAAAAAACAAAACAAAAAACAAACAACAAAAAAAAAAAACACAAAAAAACCCCCAAAAAAACAAAAACCAAAACAAACCAAAACAAAAAAAAACCCACTAAACAAAAAAAAAAATAAATCAAATCTTATAGTGTTTATCTGTTCTCCTAATAAACTAGTGCCTAGAGCTGTATGATGAAGTCGATGTTCAGAAATATTTCAAGTAGGAGTATTAAGGTTAAATTTCACTTTTGCTGGTTACTCTGAGAGAACAGCCCTTCACTGGCCTCTAGTGTAATATGATTTATTTCTTTACTTCAGCTGCTGCAGCACCCTAGAAAGTTGGGTGCTGAACAGTAAGGGACAGCATGGCAGCCTTGGTTAATTTACAGAGATCCCTGTGAAAATTCAGGCCAGACAGCAATGACCTGTTGACCAGAGAATGCACCTTCTTGAGGGAGTTTCTTCGTCCACATCTCCAAGGCAGTTGTGCCTCACACTGTGTCTGCCACATCATTCTCCAAACAAACTGGTAATTATCATAACACAGGGACACAGTGATGATGGCACAGAAATTCATCTTTTCCCTTTATGGATACCTTTTTAGCACAGCTCAGGTACTTTTGCAGGTTTGTCTGCTTGGTCACATCTAAGAGAGTCAGTCTGTGCTTTACGCACTGGGTTTCCTGGGAGCTTTCTCTGTTAACTTTTCTGAAAAATTTTTAACAGGTTCTTCTCCCAAAAGTTCTAACAGTATCATGCTAAAACTTTTCTTCTCATGGAATGCCTTGGTTTGAGTTCCCCTCTCCTGGGAGCCAGGGGGCCTAGAAGCCTAGAGGTGATTAGGTCCCAGGAGAGTTCTCACTAAGGAGCCAATCGCAGCTCTTCTTGTTCGCTCCTGTAAAAATTAGATATACACAACAACTGGAAATTATTGGCAGTCAGTCTGTGTGTGTGAGAGAGAGAGAGAGAAGCCGAGGGATGGATGAGGCTCCCAACCCAGGGGCCCCCATGCCCAGTGGCCCTGGCCAAGCCGGGGTTGAAGGCAGCGTGTAGGAGTGTGTGTATGTTGTGAGAGAGAGACTCACAACCACTGAGGTAAGAGGAAGGGAGGCAGGCCTTCTGCCAGGCCCTCTTCCCCTGCTCCCAGCCAGACTGCGGGGCGTTTGGGACAGTTATAAATGGACCCAACGCCTGTAGCTTAAGTTGGGGGGGTGGGGGGGGGCTTTCCCCCCAGTGTAGCTGGGGGTGAATGTAAGGCTTAGTATTTGAAGCTGAGCCAAGGAGGAGGGGCTGAAAGAAGCTCAGTGCCAGAAGAAAAAGAACTCCGGGTGAAATTGGAGACAGGCCAAGCAGGCTCGGAGGTGCTCTGCGTCGACTTTGTACGTGGACTGCCAAAATTGAGAGCTGCAGCAGCTGGAGAAGAGTGAGAGAGTCAACTACCAGCAGGCGTGTTCCGGGTAAGAACTCAAAACAGCATCTTACCCCTGGGAGGAAATCTTCACGAAACCAAGGAGGAAGGACTCAGAGCTATCTCCTTGGACCTCGTGACGAAGAGAAAACTTCAGCACGGAGCTGAGACTGGTGTGGGGGGGCGATCAGAGGAACTCATTTCCCTGATACCCCAATGAGAGAAAGACTGCTTACCTATCAGCCTGAGGGCTTCTCCTGAACTGATTGTGGGAGGGGTCCGAGGGGTGATAGAAGTGTGTTAATATTGTATATATATAATTGCTTTTAGTTTGTACAGTATTTTTTTTGTATAGGAATAAATGTATGTATATTCCTTTCCCCATACAGAGGTCTGCCTGCCTGAAAATTTCTCTTTGGTGTTGAGGTAAATTATGGGGAGGTGGGGGAAGCTTGGAGATTGGATTTTTAGTGGGGTGAAACCTCCACACAGAATCACAAAAAGTCAGCAATGTTGGTAAGGACTGCTGGAGGTCACCTAGTCCTGCACAAGCAGGATCTTTTCCCCCCTTTATATAAAAAAAAAATCTTAACATTTACACCAAGTCTGATTTTACACAGAGAAGCTTCTGAGCATTCATCACAGCAACAGAAAATCTTTCTTGGGTGATTTTTTAATTTATTTTTTATTTTATTGATGAGTAGTGGGAAACAGCAGTGAAATGACTTGCAGATTCACCCATACCACATATATCATGTGCTGTACATCTAGGAGGGATGTTTTTGTCAGAGGTGGATGAGAAGCAAAAGCACCTTCTGCAAGTGATTAAAATCCAAAATGATGTTTAAAATGGGATGGTAGGAGAAGCCATTTTTTTCAAGAATACTCCAGGTCCACCAGTATCATTAATCTTGTCTGAAATGACAAAAGAATAATGAAGAAAAGCATGTGGGGATGGGGGTAGATGGAGAAAACAAGAGAGAGGAAAAAACCTGGTTGTTTGGCAGGATTTTGACAGACTAAAGAAACAATTATGTGCATAGCAGTCTCCAAAGAGGGAGATTTATAAAAATAAGAGTTCCTCGTGGAAGACCACACTTTAGACTGAAAAATACATATGCAAAGGTATTTGTGTTTCTGGTTGGTCTAACCTGGTTAACTGTCTTGACAGCAAAGAGGGCCTTAGGCACACCAGTTCCTGGAGCTGCACCATGCTGGAATTCAGACACTTTCTCCAGCACCTCACATATCCCTGTTGAAGATGGTTTTAGTAAGAAACCATTACCCAGTTAGCACAGAGCTGGGATATTGCAGAAAGAAGGCCAATAAACTAATTTCACACACAGCTGCAAGCTAAATTCCCATTAGTAATGGCTTAAAAAGATGGACTGTGAGTCCATTCAAAGTAGCCAATATTTCAACTACCTGCAATCCTCCCTATCTTGTGCTACAGGTAATAAATTTTTCCTCTGCAGTCAATGTAGTCAATTGTCTCTCAAGTGCCCTTTTAAATGTATCAACAACAAATAAGCCGCTGTCAACACATTGCAGAAATTGATTCCCTTCATAAAACACATAAATACCTCTCAGGAATAATTTGGTCATTTCTTTGTATACGTTCAAAAATTCTCATATTTAGCTGAGCAGAAAGTTTTTCCTTCTGCATCCCTTAAAAAAATTTCTTCATAGAACAGCTTTGTGCTGCTTTTTTTTCAGTTTTCCCATTGATATTAAACAGTGCAGACCAGGGACAGAAAGAGGCATGTTTTTCCAAAGAGATTGAGAATAATATATTTACTTTAAATCTACATTTTGCTTAGATAATACATTTAACAACACCGTATTTTTTCAATGGGAAGTAGTCAATGTCTTTTAAAATATTTTGACTGTGCAGCAGGACTTTTTCAGGAATCTTTCTGAATTCCTGCCTGTTTATTCTTTTTTTCTCAAAAGATATTGACTAGTTGAAACAGAGCCTTTGCAGCAACATTTTGGGAACACTAAAAGCTCTTCCCTGGCATAGTGATATGTTCTGGATGTAAACTCAGTAAAATGTGCTGGTAATACAACTCAGGAAATACAATAGTTGATCACTACGGGACTTGAAATGCTGCACTCGTCCTTTGTCAAATCTAACCTCCTTTGAATTCACCTGGCAACTTTCCACATTGAACTTACCTTTTCATGATCAGAACATACAACTTATCTTTTGCAGGAGTCAGAAGTTCCTTCCTCCCAAAAGGATCTTCCAGTAACAGCTCTTTACTTCCCTACTTTGTTGTTCATTTTTTCTTACTGAGAATTTTGTTGCTATTCACTGGATGGCATCTGAACGTCTCATAAAATTCAATTTCCATCACGCTTTCAGCTTCTTGGTTTGCCTGGCTTGCTTGTTCTCGAAACAGCCGGTGAGGTCAGTGCTTTGGTAGTCTGTTACAAGAATCAGATCTTCAAAGTGATTGCTCACGTGGAGGTATTTATTCCTGAGAGATGATGGCACTTGGGCAGATGGGCTTTCTTTGATTCCCATCCAACATCATTTCCAGGGCTTTGCCACTCAGGGCAGTGCTGCCCATGGCTCCTGCCTGGATTGTGTGGGGCCCCTGTGGGTCTCTTTCTCCTCTGAATGGCAGCCCTGCCCTTGGACATATTGACTGGCCCTCCCTTGCCATGATGTCATCAGTCTTGATGGGACTACACCACCCTGCTGTATTATCTCATCACACGACTCTGCACAATGCATTTTACGCCACAAGCCATTGCTAACGCTTAAAATAATTAAGAAAAAAATAAACATATGAATTGAGGGTCAGGAGCAAACTCTTTTCTACCCAACTTCAATGGTTTAATGATTAGAATATGAGGTTAATTTCCTGTTTCCTTTTCTAAATCAGTGAATAATATTTCTTCAAGGCGTTAAGTGCATTTCATTGACTCAGCATTTGCACCCTGTGGAACCAATGTTTTAGAGAATTTTCCCGCCGAAGTTAGTGAAAAGCAGCAGTTATAACCCCATCCACTCAACAGCTTCTGCCCCAGTTCTAACATGGAAAAAATGCCCACACTGGTAAAGCTGCCCAGCTCAGGGGTAGATTTCATCAGTCTCCTTCTTTCCTTTTCAAACATATTCTTAACATATATTCTAAATCGGCTGAAGGATGTAAAACTCTCTGTTTTCCCCCAATACAAACACTTTGACCACTTGGCAATTCAACCAATTGGGTGTTTTCTGTCTGGGTAAGTAATTATTATTTTTGTTGTTTCCCTCTGTTGTTCACAGTTCTATGTGCCACAATGTTTGCTGACTTTCAATGTAAAATGAGGCAGCTATTTACTGCAAAGTGCTTATGCAGATGCCAGTTCCCTTTGCAGCCTTGTGAAAACAAGTGATTGATTGTTGGTGCCCAGATTTCCTTTCTCCCCAGTTCTCCTGGAAGTGTTTTTCTTCTGATGTTCACAGACAGAAACTGCAAAGTCCTTTGAGAGGGAAGCTGAACATCAACCAGAGTGGGAAATCCCTTTGAAACAAATGTTCTTGCCCTCGCAGTCCTCCAGTGCACCGATTTTTCACATAAACTGTCCTTTCCACTGGACAATGAGGCCCAAAATACATTTTCAGCAGGATGAGCCAGCAGAGAGCTGGAAGCAAGAGTCAGACAGGAAAGATTGCTATGAAAAGGCTGAACCCGCACTCAGAATTTTACTCAAGTGTCCTCTTCTGCTGTTCTCTCAAAGTCTGGAAGCTGCCCTGCAGCAAATGACTGAAGGAAAAAATAGAGTTTGTCATGAAAGTAGTTTAAAATAGCCTTGCCTGATAAACAAAAACTGCATCAGCCTTTGTATCAAAGGGAGAACAGACAATAAGCTGTTATGAATCTCACTATTTAAACAATGAGGAGGAAAAAAAAAAGAAAAGGTACCGATTTTTTTGGGTTTTGGTGTTTGGTGGTTTGTTGTTTGTTTGTTGTTTGGGTTTTTGGTTTGGTTTGGTTTTGGGGGGTTTTGTTGTTGTTGGCTTTTGTGGTTTTTTTTTGTTTGTTTTGGTTTGGTTTTTTTGATTTTTTTTTTGGCTTTTTTTGCTTTTATATGGATTGAGGTATTTCCCTGTATTTCCTCTTCACTGTGTCTCTGACTTTCTGTTTCCTGCTGGAGCAGCCCAGTGTGACACAGCTCCTCTTTTGACCAAGGCTGCAAGACTTTGAGAGGCCCAAGGAATGTAGCAATGTAAGACTGACCCTGCCAGCTGAAGTCCAAGGGTCAGTAAGTCCAGATCATATTCCATAAGCTTTTTTAAAGGATATGAATGATTCAAGCCTAGAACTCATTTCTGTACTGATGGTTAAGGTTAACACTTTCTCTGCAAACAGTTAAACTTTATGGAGCATCAGTAATGCATTGCCATTCATCAGACACCACAGAGAAGACGTGTTATCTGTCACACCCATCTTGGAGCACTGATACAACTTTCAGAGTATTTCAGTTTTGCTGAGCCTGTTGTCAGTGTCACTAGATTTTACTAGCTTAGTTGAAAACAAAGGCATAAAAGGAGAGAGGGAGGCTTATCAGGTAAATTATTTAGTTAAATTCTAGGCAGTATAAATGTTGTATTGTAAGTCTGGCATAAAACAGAGAAGAATAAACACTAACCACAGAATTAAATGCAAATAGCCCTCTAAGAGGTCCTGTAATTAAATATGTAGCAAAATGACCTTGGTATCAAAAGCATGTGAAATTATTAAATCTAAGAAGAAAACCTAATATTTAGACTGGACCTGCCACCAAAATCTGAAAGTACGGAAAGTAATTAGTCTTCTGCTGATGAGACTGAGCGGAAAAATGCTTTTCTACAAGGAAAAATATATGAGAAATGACACAATCTTAGTTTAGGAATGGAAGTCAATTAGGATACTTACACAGTGCATTAGAGGTCGTTCTTTCTGCTCTCTGAAACCAGACCAGGCTGCATTTGAAAGCTGCCATCTGTGCATAGGAATTCTGTCTTTCTCTCTTCCTTGCTCACTTCCAGAAGGGACATTTCCTTCTCCTTTCCCTGCTGTGTGACACCAGAGCTTCTCTGCCCTGTGGAACAGTGGGTTCAGATCCCAGCTGTGATCCAGAGCTCACCAGACACTCATTTCAACACACATCAAATACAGGGTATTGTTTCTTCTCCTGGTTTCTGTTTTGGGTCAATATGAGCCAATACTGTTGTGGGAACATCATGTGGTTTCTCAGTTCTGATCCTCAAAGACATAAAACACCTGCTTCACACAGAGCGTTACTAGCTTTATTGGGGTTTTCTTCACAGTCAATGGCGAAAAACAACTGAATGTGCTCTTCTTTTTCCAAGTTCCTTTAGTAGAAACCTCTTTATTGATGCCAAATGTAAGTTCAAACAAGTTACCTGAAGCTCAGTAACTCAACCAATGTGTGGAACAGAAAATGGAAATAGTTCTGTCTGAATTAAAGGTCACAGAAATGGAGGATTTGGCTTCTCTTTCATGCTGGATGACAGAGTTAAAGCAGTGAACACGGAATTAGAATTGCCTTTGAAAGATTTTTGCAACTAAGCAAATACATCTAATTAGTTTTAGAAATATCTCATTAATGAGTGTAAATAACACAGTGAAGTAATTAACTTATACAATGAAAATTGCCCATTGCCAAATATTTGCAATTAGAGTTTTACTAATAAACTTCAGAGGCAGTTATACACCAAAAGAAAAATGAGGGTTAACATATTATTGAAAGCTCAGACATTTTTTTATAAGCATCAAATTAAACCAATCCTCACTCATCAAAAAGTATTAATTGCAACTTGCATATCCATGTCCTCAAGGAGTTGAATTCCTTGTAATTTCACAGGCCAAGAGAAGAATGTCTTTGAGAAAAGCAGCAGATTTTCCTCTACCAGGTCTAAAACACCCACTACTCATAAAAAATGGAGTTACCAGAAATTTCAGGAGTGTCTTCCCTCTGCAAAGTATATCCTACTAATTTCTGAAAGAAATAAGAAATCTTGGGGAAGAAACACCACTCTAGTATTTCTAGAAGATCCTACATTTTTTGCTTTCTGATCAAGCCATGCCATAGTTCCAGTTGTGCTGTCAAATCAGCTACAATACTCTTCATGAAAGTACTTAAAAATCCTGAGGACTCCTTTAGTGCTTGGAAAAACATAGTCTAGTTTGTTGGTTTGGTTTTTTTTTAATTATAATTTTGAATCATAACTACACTTACAGAAGCAGAAGGAGGAGACAAATACAGATGAAATTGTCTTAGAGGACTAGCTAGAAATATTGAAGAGAAAATAAAGGAAAACAAAAGTTGTCAGACAAAAAAGACTTCTTAGGGGTAGAAGAAATATGGCTCCAGGAGGGCAGGCAGGAAGGAGCAAGCTTGCAAAGTGAGGAGTTGTTCTCATCCTCTTTTTATGTATATATTTATACATATATACTTTTGGGAGAAAAGTGAGGAGGTGAGACCAAGTCCTGTTACTGCCATCATTAATAGGTGGTGGGGCAGCGCCAGATGTAACAGAAAAGTGTACAAATAATAAAAATATCAAAAATATAAAAATTAAGAGGAATAGCAACACACTGCTCATTGTCATAGTATTGGTTAAATGCTTGTAATCTAAAATTTCAAAAGCACAGAGCACATCCCATTCAAGGAATGAACCGTTCATTATGCGCTGAAAGCTGCAGATTTTTGCCCAATTACTTTACAAAAGGACCCACTTTTGTCAATTACACTATTCAGGGAACAACTCAAGGGAAGGATGTTTCTGTCCAGTGAAATTTAAGTAGCAAGATTACATCACTGTTACCCAGATAAAGAAGATAAGATTTAACATTGTATTTATACAGATTTAGATGCAGCATAAATACCAATGCCGATGCAGTGACATGTGCTTGCTACAGAATGATTACTGAAGGAAAATGGAAAATAATCTTTCAAAATTATACAAGAATCCCAAGACAGGCGAAACAAGAGCTGAGACTACATCTCTGACCATCTCTGATGGGATTTGCACCAAAGCAAAGGTTGCCATTTCACAGCAGATCATTTTACTTTTCTCCTCACTCAAATGCATTTCCTAAATAATTTATATAAATGGAAAAAAACCACTGGAAAACTAACCAACCCCAAACATAATAAAATTTGTCAGAGGATTATTCAAGTATTAGTTAGTGTATTTATCTGGTCTCACTATACCACCATTATGCCTCTGCTACTTAACTTCCAGATTAACATTGTCAAAATTAAACACTAAGAATACCTGACAATAAACCCCCAAATTAGCAAATGCTCATGTTTTTTCTTTAATACCAGCAGTCAGCAAATATTTAAGTGCACAGAAATTAGGTCATGGAACTCTTCGTAAAAACCAATAAATAAACATGGATGAAGACTGTTATGCTAATTTTCTCCAAGCTTTTTTTTTTTTACAGAGTGTGTAATGGTTTGAGAAAGGAATGAAATGGGAAAGTTACTAAGTTTTTCTGACAGACTCAGTTTTGAGGGTTTGTCTTAAAATTATGTTTTCCCAAGAAAAAACAACAATAGACTGTGACATAACATTCAAAAAATCAAGACAGTCAATTAAAATTTTACATAAAATAATCTGTAACATTAAAAAAAAATTACCCTTCAAAATAATTTTCTTTATTTTTGGCTTTTTTTTTATTTTTTACTTATGATATCTACAACTAGTGGAAATACTGGGAAGCCACTTAAAATATATTTGTAATATTACAAGTTGTCTTGTTATCATGGAATCTTTTAACATAATAATTTTCAATGTTTCACCCCTGTTGCTTATTGCTTGCATTTGGTTCTTTAGATTTTCCTTTATAAATTCCTCTGAAAAATCCTTTTTTTAGCCTCCCCCTTCACATAAGTGTACTTTGATGTTTTATCCCAAAGGTTTTCAGAAACTTCTGATCAGTTTTAACTTTCCAACAATGGCTAATAATAAAGTTATTCTGGATGATAAATATGGGGGTTTTTCTAGTACAAGAATGATTTTTTAATTATATGGGTCAGAATGTCAAGCAAGCACACTCATAAAAGAAACTTGTGCTTAAAATTGTTTAAGAATTGAATATTTATTTAAATAATATTATGAATAATATTTATACTAAATAAAATATTTAGTATAATGTTAATTTAGATCAGTAGATTTCATCACTATCGTTTAAGAAGTATTTTGGTTTTTCATATACAAAAATATGGCTTATGTGAGGGAGATACGGTTTATGATAAGGATTTTGATGTCTATCACCCTCCCAGTGTTTCAACCACGTTTAATTCCGTTTTATGGGATTTTGATTTTTTTAGTTATCAGCACTTGCAAAAAGGTGTGTTTTTCTTTCAATCAGAGAAAAGAAATTACCAGGACATTTTCAGCTGTTTTGTTTTCCTACTGTACTTTGTAAGGCTCTCTCTCTCTCTCCCAAGTCCTCCAAAGGATCCATCCCCTCTGCCTTTGCCTCCCCAGCTGAGGGAGGTCCCTGGCTGACGCTGTGGCCCTGCAATGGTCCAAAGAAACTTCACGAGGTAGAGACACCAGTTTGTCTCAATACAAGCAGATTGTATACAGTTTTTCCAGGTCAGCAAAAGACAAAGGGCTGGGGAAAAAGATATGTGTTAAACTACAATGCAAAACCTGCCCTTTCCTCAGAAAGGGTGAACTTTCACTATGGAATTAATGGGCAAGTACAGAAATAGAAATACCGGGAGTTTTCTCTGAGGAATTGTGGGACAAGAGGGGAGGGGAAAGGTTCTCATTTTAAAAGAATTTTCAGTACGAAATTAATAAAGAAAAAAAAATCACAATCTTAAAAATAAATGAGAAACGCTGATTTTTTTAAATATCAGATCATAATTTTTTTCCAGCTAAGCATCATCCCATATGTTGTCAAACAATACAAGTTTCCAAGATTTTTCTCTTTATATTTCTGATGTGTATTACTTGAGTTTTGGTTTTCTTAAACCGATGTTTCAAAATTAAAATTTATGGTGAGCCTGAAATATTTAGCTGACTGACAAAAATGTCAAAACCGCCCTGCTGTTTCCTCAGTAGCTTTCAATTTCTGTGGTGGAAGAAGTAATTTGAACTGCCATTGGACATAAAATTCAGGCAAAACTTACATATGTCTGTAGTAGTCTTATAATGAAGATAAAATGAAAAATATATCCACAGATGCCCACACCACAACAGTTTTGCCCTACTAGAAACGCTCCAAGTGGTCAATAGATAGTGGCCTCTGTGGCTTAGCAGGGTTTTTCTATACAGTTACAGCAAGCCTGGGTCTCATTGTCCCCATCATACAGCTTTTGTGATGAAATTCATTTGACTTCAGTAATCAAGGAAGGTACATGACAAAAGAAATAGAGACAAAAAAGGCTGAAGTGGCATGTCCACAGGTATAAAACTAACCACCGACTGGGAAGAATGGAGCCAGAATGTCCTTGCTTGCCAGCCAGGCCACTCTTTAGATATCACAGTATTTCTCCCTCCAAAGGTGGCTAATTTCAGGGGTGGGATATTATATGAAACACACCACTGGTCTGCCAGCCTCATTTCTAAGTGAAGTTTAACATCCTTGGCCTACTGAGTTCAGCAAATATGAAAATGTACAGGGCAGCTTGGAGCATGAGTGAAGAGCGAGACAGGTTTTTGTCTCTTCTATATTTCAAACACATCATTAGAGGTTTAATGACTGACATAATTATGATACAGTGCTTGTGAGATTCCAGATCATTAACCTCCTCTTCCATGTGTAAAATGGAAAAAGTCTGTGGTAACTATTAAAAGAACAATACACAGAAATAATTAATACTTATTAGACAAGTCACACTGAAAATATGCAAACATCAGCAGGTGCTGAGACTGTCTGTGGGTGTGCACAGGGAGCACAGCACAGCTGTGCAAGGCCCTACTGCCATCCCAGTAGAGTGGGATATCCCACCCTGCAGCAGTTGAACGTTGGAGGACTGTGATTTCTGTAGGTCCCCTGAGGTGTCTGCCAATCCTAGATGGACACCTACATTTACACAGTCTAGTGTCACTT